GGGAAGAAAATATTACATTTTTGTGGGCTTAGTCAGGAAAGGAAATAATATAACCCTTAGATAAACAGAGTACCTAAGTATGCTAAATATTTTTAAACAGGTTATTTAGCATAAATATTCTTTCAAAGGGGGACTGTTTTCAATTGTTTTATGAAAGTTAACCTTGGCAAAAGATAGCAAATGCTCGTTTAAAGAATACTTCCGAGTAAACAAAGCCATAGCTACATAAAATCTGTTTCACATGCGGAAATTTGTTCTCAAATGTTCTTCATACTCCACATACTTTAAACACATGTAATGTGTGGATACAGGCACTACAAAATTAGAGGATAAGGTATCATTATAACCATAATTCAACACTGTAGATCAGAATACAAAGGCAAATGTAATTTTTAGAAACTCAACTTCTTTCATGTAGTGCTTAATAGTACCGTTTTATAGCAACCTCCACTTCACAAAGGAGCCTAAATATACTTTAAATACTCTTTCTTGGGGGACAGCTCATAGGAAGCAGCATATGAACCCTCTTGCTTTTTAAATTGCAGTTAACACGTCCAGGAGAAGGCTGCCTTGGTAGGTATTTATACTACTGGTTTCTGAAAGTCATGCCCATCTTGTTATTTAGGAACAATTTGTTTTAAAGTATTTCAACCTCATTCACGTGTTTCAGCCACACACCAGGTAGAGTAGCAATGCAAACCACCACCTGCAAGTCCACTACCCCCCTTTTTGCTGTCTGTCATTCTCCTGTAGCTCCTTTTACCCTGGCAGCTCCACATCTGTCTCTTACTCCACCAATTCCCACCACCCAGCAAACTTTCACATTACTTCTCTAGCTTATCTTCACCTCCCTACTAGCCCACCATTCTTGGCAGGACATTTTGCCTCCTAAGAATTGACTGCTTCAGGAAGCACACGCTGCTTATTTATTAAGGTGCAGCTTAAAGATTGCTCTGCTATAATTGAAATAAGCAGCTCATTAAGCTTGGATAGAACTCTGTATCAACCGGGCAGGCTGCTACTAACTAAATATCCATATGGATTTCTTCTTTCAAACACTTCACCAAACAGCACCACAGCTTCACACGTGGTGCCGAGAGCTCTCCCGGGGGGAGCTTCTTGCGTCCCCTCATGCCAGGACAGACGCATTTATGAAGAAAACCGGGGCACGAGCCAGCCGAGGGCTCACAGTACTCCAAGGAGCCAGTCTTTAAAAATGCTGTGCTCTGAGACAGCCCCGGAGACAGAGGGAAAAACAAAAATAAATAAACAAAAATAAATAAATAAAAATAAATAAATAAAAAAGGTGGATGAGAGAAGCCTTT